GCAGAGCGAGAGAGACAGAGAGAGACAGAGAGAGAGAGAGAGAGAGCGAGATGCAGAGCGAGAGAGAGAGAGAGAGAGAGAGACATACAATATCATAAAAACAATGTATTCAAACAATTAAAATAAACGCACAGAGTTCTTCGCGGGGTGTGGGGGTGTGAGGCAGGGCTGTCCACTATCACCGACCCTCTTCAATATCTACATTAATGAATTGGCGAAACTCCTGGAACAATCAGCAGCACCTGGCCTCACACTGCATGACTCCAACATAAAGCTCTTGCTGTTTGCAGATGATCTGGTTCTGCTGTCTCCAACAGAAGAGGGTCTACAGCAGAGCCTAGACATCCTGCACAAGTTCTGTCAGACCTGGGCCCTGACGATTAACCCTAACAAAACTAAAGTACTAACATTCCAGAAAAGACCCAGAGTTCAGGGAAAGAGACATAACTTCACCCTTGGTGTGACCAAAATTGAAAATGTCACAAACTACACATACCTCGGGCTGAAGATAAATGCCACTGGCAAGCTAAATTTGGCTGTGAATGAACTGAAAGAGAAAGCAAGAAGGGCCTTTTATGCCATCAAAAAATCTATCCAAATTGAAATACCAATTAGAATCTGGCTCAAAATATTCCAATCAGTCATAGAACCTAGAGAGAGAGCAGAACAGAGAAAATCGCTAGATAAAAATTTAATTATGAAGCAATATTATTATTATTATTAGCCAAGTGTATTATTTAAAATTATTACTAGGCATGCTTCGAATTACATGCATGCTTGGACTAAAATAATAATAATACAAATAATAGCCCAGTGCATCGTTTTAAATTATTTTAAAGCATAATTTGCATGACCTACATTTAATTTTAGACAACAAAAACAACAACAACAATAATAACAAAAGGCTAGTGTATTGTTTTAAATCATTGTAAAGCATTATTCGCATGACATGAAATCTTAGACAATAATAATAATAATAATAATAATAATAATAATAATAAATTGTTGTAAAGCGACTCGCCGCTACTCATCTGAATTTATTTGTATTTTAAAGCAAGGAAAATGTAAAACCACCTTCCCGCTCTGTTCTCGGCACGCTCCTAAATATCCCATCTATTGCAGAAACAGCCCAGAAGCGCAGCTGGAGTGAGAGCACCTGCTCAACATCTGCTTCAGAAGCGCACGTGCGGACTTCAAGAGGAGAGCATAGCATTCAGCTCGGAGAGAAATGCGAAGTGTCTGAAATGCCCATTTTCTTCCATTAAACGCGAAACTTGATCTAGAACAACAACTGGCGCGTGTGTCCGCGCGGGGGAATGATTGCCCTGATTACGTGCCATTATGTGTGACAGCGCGCTCTATTAGCGTGAGACAGTGTGAGCAGAAATACACAGGCTTTCACGGGAGAGTAAGAAAGCACTTATGCACTGGAGGACGCGTTCAACTCGCAAATCCTGTCGACATATAGACGACAAACTGAACACACCACAGCGCGATTCATCACGCGACGTCAGAACCCCGTGCACACTCGATTCGACTCAGCTTATTAGTTCCGAAGTCGTTTACAGTGAAACATTCATCTAAAAAGACAAGAGGCTTATTTTGTGAGCTCCATCTGCGAATGATTTGCAGCCCGTCGGTGCTCGAGACTAGAGCTTAAGGCCCTGCTCCCTCTTCTCTCTCCTCTCTCTCTTCTCTCTCTTCTCTCTTCTCTCTCTTCTCTCTCTTCTCTCTCTTCTCTCTCTTCTCTCTCTTCTCTCTTCTCCGTCATTACGCATGTTTTCCGGGAAAGTCGGACTCGCTGCATTTCTGCTGCAGAATGTGCAGCTGGCTCGCGCTCTTCTCTGGATGCATGACTCTCGGCGCATGCAAGCGCTCGCTGAGAAATCACTGCCAAATACCGGCCATCAATTCGAGCTCTGCCACACTGTAAACAATTATTTTGAGATTTTGCCATTTTTGTAGAATTTTTTTTTTTTTTTTTTAAATATGTATATAAATTGTCCAGACAACAAGAAGATGTAGGCCTGTGTTTATTGGCCCTCAACTGAGATGAAAGTTGAATGAACTAGTTGCTTCATTTTTTTTTTCAGCTCAAAAACGCATG